CCTTTGCGGAGATCGTGCGTGTCGAGTGCGCGAAATGCAGGCGAGAGTGCGATTTGTCCGGTCCGCGCGCAACCCTCTGCGGAGATCGTGCGTGTCGAGTGCGCGAAATGCAGGCGAGAGTGCCGCGCGTCGGCTGCCCGCGCAGCCCTCTGCGGAGATCGTGCGTGTCGAGTGAACGAAATGCAGGCGAGAGTGCCGCGCGTCCGGTGCGCGCGCTGCGGAGATCGTGCGTGTCGAGTGCGCGAAACGCAGGTGAGTGCGATTTGTCCCATGCGCGCGCAACCCTCTGCGGAGATCGCGCGTGTCGAGTGCGCAAAATGCAGGCGAGAGTGCGATTTGTCCGCGTGTCGAGTGCGCAAAATGCAGGCGAGAGTGCGATTGGGTCTGCGCGCGCGCAACCCTCTGCGGAGATCGTGCGTGTCGAGTGCGCGAAATGCAGGCGAGAGTGCGATTGGGTCTGTGCGCGCGCAACCCGCTGCGGAGATCGTGCGTGTCGAGTGCACGAAATGCAGGCGAGAGTGCGATTTGGTTTGTGCGCGCGCAACCCTTTGCGGAGATCGTGCGTGTCGAGTGCGCGAAATGCAGGCCCTGGCGACTTTAGTACTACTTTAGTACGCGGAGTATTTGGGGATCCATGGAAGATGAGAACTGGCGACTTTCTAGTACAATTTAGTACGCGGAGTATCTGGGGAGCTGGAAGATGAGAACTGGCGACGTTGTAGTACAACTTTAGTACGCGGAGCAATCTGTGGAGCTGGAAGCTTAGATCTGGCGACTTTGTAGTACAACTTTTGTACGCGGATGAGTCATCTCTCGCGGCTGAGTCATCTCTCGCGGCTGCCCTGGCGCCCCTGCAGCTGAGTCATGTCTCCCGACCACCCGGCTCTCTTGAGAGGTTGACACACACACAGAGACCCACGCACTGCCTCAACTTACTCGGACACACACACACACACAGACAGAGACTCATACACACACAGACATATAGATACACACACACACACAGAGACCCACACACGGCCTCAACTCACTCGACTTAACACTTCACACTGAACACTTAACAGTTAACTCACACTCTGACTTCCTACGTGATGAAAAATGCTTTCGGGCCACTCGTCGTCTAGTTTCAGATCCCGGGGTTCTTCCCCAACATCGGCATCACGGGAGAACGACCCGACGCGAAACGGTGCGTCAGCACCTCCGAACATCTAGGCACGTCAGCGCATCGCCCATTTGGAAGTGGCCTCGGCCGGAGAAGTGGCCTCCAAGGTGCAACCGTGTTGGATGCGGGGAGTTGGATGCGGTGTCAATCCAACTGGCTTGGCAGCGGTGCGGTGCCATTGAACGATTCAATCATGAACTCATGCCGACTCAACTAACCCGTGGTGAGAATTTTGTGGGTGGGCACGTTGAAGTGGGAAAAGAAAGGTGGTGGTGTGTTCTAGTGTTGATATTGTTGGCTCCTCGCTTACTCATTTTGCCGGCCTCCTAACACCAGTGTCTTATGCCACTGATTGGCAGGAGCTGTATCAGGATATGAACCGCTTGTGTGGGAGAAGTGGTAAGGTTGGGGGTTTCCAACCCGCGTTCTCCTGGTATTTGCACCTGTTCTGCAGAAATGCTCATGTGCACCATGTTTTTTTCCAAACAGCCGGAGGGTGTTCCAAGGCAACTTGCATGCACCCAATTACACTCGTGTCTTTGTTTTCTTTCTTTAACGTGTCTAAGACACCTCAAACATTTGTGAGTTCAACATTGCTGTTCGGAACTGTCCCAGAGTGGTGAGAAGGAATCCATGGACCTGACTTCAGCCTTTGGATGCAAATTCGCACAACTACAGATTGTCAGACGGCCACCAACCTGTGCTACCTTCCCCTGGCCAGATTGGGCGTCGCCTCTCTGTTGGCAGCCTCGGATGGGAGAGCCAAAATCATCATTTCGGGTCACCGGACGTTTCCGTAGCAGGGATGTTTGCGTGTTTCATGTGCATTTAATGATTTAATGGCAATCATATGGCTGTGAGATGCTGTGAGGTCCTGGAGCCGACATGTTCGCTGTTTGTCCATAGCCACACGCTACACCCTCCCTCACGATTTCATCAGGGTTTGTTTGTGTTGTCATTTGAGAAATGCCTTCTACAGAGGCAAGAAGAACCTTTTACTGTAGATGTTAGTATGTCAGGACCATTTGGACATGGACATCCCTAAATAGATAGAAACGATGTCCCCTCAAGTACATTGAATTGATAAGTATACATCTTGCAAGGGAATTGACTTTGTTCTACTCGTTTGGTGCTCTGGGACCGCTTAAAGTCGCAAGAGAGCTGCCCCTATGCGGCTCGACGTCCCTTGGCCCTTCCCTGAGGCATCGCCCCGACATCGTCGGGACTCCCGGATTCGTCCGCCGATGGCGAAGACAGCCTGGTGGAGTTTCAGGTTAAGAGTTGTTTGCTCCTCTCCTCCAGTCCCTGGTGCAGCAAAAACAAAAGGAACTTTGGATCATGTTCTATTTGGGAGTCGTGCACCAAAAAACACAACATTTAGCGCGACAGGGTATACCGTTCGGGAAAAAAGGCATTTTGGGTTCGACAATCTTTATATACTTGATGGATGGCATGACATGATTATGACATGACATGTTGACATGGTGGCATGACATGTTGACATGAGGCGTTTTGGATGGCATGACCTGGATGGCATGACTTGATGGATGACCCCTCCCTCCTATGGAAGGACAGTGTCTCGGTGTGGAGATGCTTGAGATTTTTTTGGGAGCTCCTGGACGCCGCCAGTTTGCGTGTGCTGGAGGTTGTCGCCAGCCTGAGGCTACCGGCCTTGGGTGTGCATGGTCGTTGCACTTGTAGAACAAACCCATCTAAAAAGTGAGCTATTTCAGCTCTTCCAGCACCTCGACCCTTCCAATAGAGAGGTTCATATCCCTGTCTAGTTGTGGTGGTGAATGTGGCCCATGTCAATGCCCAAGCAAAACAACAACTCCCGGCTCAAGTAGTTTGCGCACAGTGCATTTTGGTAGTTAGGAGTCCCTTGTGGACGCCAGCGGGTCTCGGCCAAGCCGTCGCCCATGGCGCCGAAGTTCGGGCCGCTCGGCGAGCGTCCCTCCGCAAGGGGTCTATGGGAGTGCCCATGGGGTGTGCAAGGGAGAATCCAGACTGGCTTGGGGAAAGGCATGGGGAAACATCCATGGGCTCTTGAGTACTTCATCAACCACTCCGTCGTGGACAACGTTGATTGGATTCGTCAACCAGAGTTTGAAGGTGTGTATTCCTGCCTGCACGCCTGTTTGGCTTCCCCTCATCCATCTGAGGAAAGCCAGTTCTGCGACCAAACGCAGCAAGAAGCCCCTGCAGAACTCAGGCCATGTGCGCCGATTTGCGCTGTCACATTGAGCCAAACGAACTAGACTCTCGCAAGTAATTTAAGTCATGTTCATGTTTATACATATCTATATTCATATTTATACTGTGTCTCTTTTACCGGCGATGAAGAGATCCTCGTGTTGAGTGCTGGCTTCTGACCGAATGATGCTTCGGCGCACGTGCACCGGTCGCGGCAGTAGAGAAAGAATGGCCGCAGACCAAGACAGAAGGGTATAGTAATTAGTGCAATTTTTCCGTGCACTCGCTGATTGCTGATTGGTGGTTTGCCCTCAACTCAGGAAGTTCTAAAAGTACTGCTTGAATTTGCTTGTTAAGCTTCCGCCCTTTGAAAGGTAATTATATCAAAATCAGCTTTCAAGTTGATATCGCTGGCCATCGCTGTGTGTCTACACCCAAGGTGTTCTTGTAGTTAAGGTGTGTGAATATATTCCGAGCCTTGCGTGTGGTGACTGGGGAGGATCAGCACTAACCAACCATCCTGTGGGAGATGCAGCGGCGGTGCCCTGGCGTGCACGAATAGTTCGGTGTTTGCGCTTGAATGCCAGGTCACTTTGCTCTCTCAGCGACAGCATCTGGTCTTGAATTCTGGCGGACTGACGCGGCGAGACTTTGGAATTGACTGTGGTATTGCTTTTTGCACTAGGCGACTAGGGTTGGCTGAGTTGGCCCATTTCACCCAAGCATCTCCACCAGAGCATTTGCTGAAAATACTGAATAGTAGTTGATGTTGAGAAGCTTTGGGATGTGATGCTCAACTGAGCTGTTCAGAAGAAAGGATATATAATGATATAAATATGGATGGACTAGTTTATAGATAGAAGAGTCCTCCAGGGTTGGAAGCCAGGTATTTCAAGGTGGAACCCACATGTGCCAAGGAACTTGGTTTGATTCGGTTTGATTCGCAACCTGGAAAGAAGATGTGAGAAGAGACCTCAGCCACACAGCCCAGAGCGGGAGTTTGAGGATCGGAGCCGCAGCCTGAGCAAGCCCAGCTTGAGCCCCTTGAGCCGCCTAGCTTAGAAACAGCCTCAGGTGGGGGCCAGAAAGGTGGAAGCATAGATGAAGCAGACAGAAGTGTGAGCAAAATAGACCGTTGTTTTTTCAATTGACCCCCCTGGGACTTGAATTGCTTTGGCGAGCCAAAGATATAGAGCTTTTTGGGCACATATGCCGGGAAGAATGCTTATATAGTTGGGATTTGTGTTTGGCGGGCTGGTTTGGTCCGTGACACATAGAGTACTATAGAGCCTACAGTCTCCTTGTATAGTTGTGTTGTGTTTGGATGCATGCGGCGTGATACAAATCATTACTTGGGCGAACCTAAACAGAGGTGGGCTGCAAACTCCTGCAAACTGCATCAAGCACTGACCCGAAGAGACCTGAGACAGTTTCAAGTGGTTTCGGTGAGCAGGATGGCCATTGTTAGCTAGTCCTGTGAGTTGAACTCTTCCATTCCCGCCCACGTCATACCACTCAGTGAGTTCAGGTCAATTGTATGAGCAGAAGCCGTGCCTCGTCACAGACATGCCCTGTGAGTTGCTTCGCATCGCAACTCGAAGTTGCTACATCTTGCGCTTCCCAATGACGAAACCCTCGTGAACGGGGCCCAAAAAGGAGCCTTAAACCTCCCAACGCACGCCCTACGTGAGGACGGACACGTTTTTGTCTCTGTGGTGCTTTCAACATCTCAACTCTTGAGGCTGAACTCTAGTTAGAGTTGTTTTTTAATGGTGTTTAGTATTTATGACGCTACAAATGGGGCTCCTGGCATCGCTACGAACGGAGCGTTCGGACGCTACGAGTTCGGGAGCGCCACTGGCTAGGAGGCTTCCTGTATGTCCGTCCGGAGGGGCCTGGTCGGACCGCAGCTCCGAGGTTTGGCTTCAGCCCCAGCAGTCCACGAACCTTGCTTCAAAGCACCTTGACTGAACGCCAGAACCTGGTGACGGTCGAGTGAGATAGTAAACTTCAAGCCGTCGCGAAGACGCTGAACGCGGAGTCGTGCAGACTCCAAAAAGAGAAGCCTTTGCCCCTCGTCCTCAAGGGTTCTGAGAAGAGCCCTGTCGTGTGGAGCGACCACTTGCCACGCAAGGTGTGCTGGCAAGCGGACCTGGCTCCGTGCATCCCTATGCAATCAGGGTGCACTCTTCAGATTGACTCTTTACATGTTTTGAGCATATCTACAGTCAGGATATTACAGGATAAACCTCAGTGGCTGGTTATTGGCACTGCGATTGCATGTCTACAGAGGTGTTGCGAAGGTTGCCGGCCCTCTCAATAATATGGAACAGGAGAGCTGGAAAAGATCACCGGCCAATGGATATGACAGGTCTCCACCCACATGGATTTTGCCCCAGTCTTCTCCACACATGGTGCAAACCATGGCCTTGTACTATTGGTCGGTTGATCAATAGGGCGATGCCTCAACAGGTATATGGTATCAAGTCGATCCCTTTATGATTCCCAGAAGAAGCTCATCATTTGTGCAACATCTGGTGATGATTTGCACTCCATGTGTGCATCCGTGGCGTTGGATTTCATGCACCGTCCAATGTTCAACTGAGGTCGGGCAGTGGCAGGGCTCAGAGAAGATGTCCGTCTTCAAGAGATGTCTAGCTATGTCACCTCCAGAGGCTGGAATGAACTAGGGGATGCGACATCGAGCTTGAAGTGACCAGAATCCACATGACGTGGTACGACATCGACAGGCAGATGAAGGTATCAGGTATTATATCGTGTTGACACATTTTGATGATGTTGCCATTTCGAAGGTCCTGCTGGGTTGGAGCATCCTGTATGTGTATCTGTATTTGTTTTAATTGCATGTTATTTGAGTTGGAGTGCCAGTGCCAGTGGCAAGGTCTCACAGCCTTGACTGACGTGTAATAATGCATGGAGGTCTAGTATGTCAATTCCTAGATTTGCACATCCCACATCTACAGCCTGCAGTCCTAGAGTCCTACAGTCATACTGACAAGCTTGCAATCATGTCACATGACATTTCCTGAGGCTTCAACTCTGATACCCCATCTCCCTCCCACGGAACCCAACCAAAAGCTCCCCGTGCACGGTCCCGCGCCGGTCCAGGCGGGAGCTCCTTACCGGTGCTGACGCCGGAAGTGCCGATCGCAGTTGCCTGACGGCTTCAGTGCGGGTTTGGTCACTGTTGGTCATGTGGCCGGGATGGTTTGTGGAGGCTCATTTGGAGCCCTGTGAACTTGTGAACTGCGTCCTTGGATCAATACAAGGACCAGAGCCAGGATGAGGAGGATGAATTGTGATGAATACACATGCAATGGGAACACTACCTTCATAACCCATTTGGCCAAACAGATTGTGCACATCGCCAGCATTGGTTGTGGTGCCTGACTATAGCAAATTACAGGATCACCTTGTCCAATCACTGACACCGTACAATCCTCCCTGCGCTGGAAGATAGTGAGGCTTGGCCGTCCGAGTTTGCTATTTTTGCCTTTCAGACAACTATCACTGATACCTGCAGCCCTGGAACATGTGGGACCCCTACAGCTGGAGCTATTTGGAGCTATTCATGCATCCGCAACGCCGGGTTTGGTGATGCATGGGCTGGGTCCATTCATAGACCGACCGAGTGTGACGAAGAAGAAACATGACCAGTCCTTCGCATCCCGGACCACTCGACGCGCCGGGTGGACGATTCGGGCGTGGACGACCGAGCCGTTGCATATCATTAGTCAACTACTGCTATATGGAACAAACCAACTTACTGTGCACAAATATGGCAAGTCAATGACACGCATATGGGATCATATGGGTATTTAAATCTTGAGTATGGACCATGGATTGCCGTCAGTAAGCTGCCAAGAATCCACTAGGGTGTTTAGTCTTGCCGTGTTGACTCCATCAACCATACCTAGGCTGACGAGCTGATCTCGGCATTCGCATGGATTGATTCTCCAGTTCTCCGCCGCGGTACCCAGGCAGCCGATCCCACCTTCCGGAAGAGCTACAGCTCCAGTCGAGGCTTCAAGGGCAGGACGGCGGTCTCATCTCACCCGCCAAGCCGAAAAGCTATACCTAGAGGATAGCTAGGGGGCCCAGGGGCCACTAGTCTTTGCGATCTCGGTTTTGTAAAGGATGCAGTGCACACTTTGTTCTTGTCGAAAGGTCCCTAGGAGTGATCACCTCACAAACGGAATCCAGTGAGCAGGGAACCTCCAAAAAGGATGAGTGCGACTCCCTGTTTCGTCGATGGTGAACAACACGGGTACTTGTGATGGCAGTTGACTGATACAAACCGAGGGAGGTAACAGAGTTCCCTCAACCTGTTTGATAGGCAAAAAAGGGAAACAGTTGAAACCTGCTCGCCCAACCCTCCCGGTTTGCAGGAGCGAGGACGTCCTGGCAGGGCTGCCACCCAGCTACGCGCAGCACATGAATCAGACACATCTCTCACAGCACGAGGTGCGCTAGTGTGCAGCTGGTGCGCTCATATAAAGCGGAGGATATGGATATGTATGGTTCTTGCACCCAATGGATCAATGCAGGGGATACACACCAGTCATCCATGAAAGCAGGAACCAATAGCAACCCAACACAAGCGAGGGGTGACACAAAGGCAACCCCGCAAGTGTTGAGTGGGCAAGTGTTGACCGGGCGCCACCCCCATACTTTGTGTTCATACACTTGGGTGAAATTGAACTTATATACCCTATGGATCCACATACCTTCTCAGAGTGTGATTGGAGACTATTTATATATGTAGGCTTGGAGGGTACAATTACCTTCTGAGAAGGTATGTGGATCCATAGGGATAGTTTAATTGTTGATGTGTGCCAATTCTTTGTGCCAACTGTACGATAGTTTGGAAGTGTCCTGTCCCAGAGAAACGTTCTGTGCTGCTTAGGATGCTTCAATATAAAACGGATTTGACTTGACATATCCCAGGGCCAAGGGCCGTCGTGGCTTTGGTACTCACAGCTGAACCCTGAATAGAGGCTGCAGCCCTGAAGGAAGCTGTGCAGGTGACTAAGACCCTGCCTTGAGCCTTGTACCATTTTGTACCAACAGTGTGTTTGACGTATCATTTGCCGGCCGACTATGTGATTGGCAGTGATTGCTTTGCCAGGGGTATTTCACATGATGTTTATTCTTTTTGTTTTTTTCGGTCTTCGTCTTCGTCAAGAAGCCTGAGGGCGGACACTTGGCTGACCTGACTGCCACAGGTATTCAAGTTCCCCTGAAGATTGACAGAGAATCTGCATTTGCAACCACCGATTTCGTCTTCGGAGATCGTTTGCCAAGAGCCACTCAGTTCGGAGATGGGAATCAGAGTTCCAAATTCACTCAGGTGCACAGCATATATAATATATAGAGAGAGATGCCCAACTCCAGCTTCCTGATTTCCACCCTCGCATTTGGACCCCTTTAGTCGGGGTGGAAACCCTCTCGCCACCCGAACTCGCGGCCTGGCAGACCTTCGGATCGCTACCGGACCTGCCTGGCTACAGCTTTCGCAGCACCACCGGAGAGTTCGCTCCCCTTCGAGGAACCCAAGGTGGGGTCCGTAGAGAAGTCCGTTTTCAGGCTGCAGAGTGTTTTTGTTTCTGCAGAACTCACCACCCGGAGGTGAGTGCTGAATGGAAACACATGGAAATCCCGAAACCCTCCTCCAGGAAGGTGCATGGAGGTGCAAAGATCAACTCCTCGATTGGAGGGCTTTGTTCCATGAATTGGGGTTTGCCTCCTTTTCGATGTATATACATTGAGTAGACTCGACTCTTTTTGGCATCGAGTCACCAAACAGTTTCTCCCCAAGTCAATCGCTGGATTGTGCAGCTGGACAGATGGTGGTGGGCGTTAAGATGCTTTAAACACTTTGAAGTGCTGGTAAAGGAAGCATGACCTCCATGCAAAACCTCCCATTTTGTTGGTGCGTTGACTTACGGTTCAGAGATATCCAGAGTGTGATCTATACACGTTGATAGTAATTGATGACTTCACAACTGGGTTTGAACTGGAAAGTGCATTCCTATGGTCATATAGATATTCAGCCAAACTGGATGTCATCAGGATCCATTTTCCTACATCCGGGCTCCCTCAACCCCCCAGCTACTCCGCTACCACTCCCAGCAGCTACAGTAGAGTCGAATAATATTCCAACATAAAGGCAAGAAAGAAGCCACAAAATAAAATCAGCCTTTTTATATTGCGCGAGGAAGGTCAAGACCATACAACCGAGCTATGAGGCGAGGCTGATATCATAAGAACAAATACCTGGAGACCTGGAGACTGGATACAATTCCCTGGAGGTTCTGAGAAGGCACCCGGTCGCTGGATTGACCTTCAGTGGATGGGTCACTACGCATAGCGGGAGTGGGCCGGCGATTCAGGCAAGCAAGGCAAGGATTGCTGGCAAGCACACATCAATTTGGGGAGAGGGGGTTTTTTGGCTTATGCGCCTGTACGACTTTGCTTGAGACTCCGAGACCACCCACGACACACAAAAACCCCGTCTCATCTCCCGTCTCGTCTCGCAAGACGCCGCCAGAGCTCCACCGTGCCTCCCCAAGCCCAATCGTCACAAACGTCAGTCTAACTAAATAAACGAACGAAAATACCAGGCGACCCAAACAACAGCATGGACGCAGCCAACCAGGCCCGGAGAGACCACAAAAGAGGAGACAACAAACATGCATCTCTGCGTTCGTAGAGAGCGACGGGTCGTTCTGATTGTTTGCAATCACGGGGAGAGAGAGAGAGAGAGAGGTATCTCAAAAACCGCCCTTCCTGGTTGATTGACGAGCAACCTACCACACCGAAGTAGACAGCCAGAGATGGAGGCACCGCAGAAGAGGACACCCAAGCAACACAGCACAACCACAGATATCACAAGAGAGGCGACCCAACCTAAGCAACCAACTGCACCAACCCACCACATCCGAAGACAGCCGGCACCACCCAATTTATATACTCTCTACTCTCTAGTCATTCCCTAGTCCAGAAACGCAATGACTTTCGATCCTGTCGAGACATGTTTTTCCAATTCGCGCCGTTCATTGTGTTGATGTTGGGTGGTGCAAGCTTATTTGGATGGGAGAAGCATGGGCTTGATCGGACTCCCGCAACCGACATGGATCGAACCTTTCGGGCTCCATGTATTTGGTGTGGAAGCTTAAAAAGCCATTCCAAACAGCAATCCGATACACAAAGGCGCCGTTAACAACCATTAAGTCTGGTGCCTGGACTGAATTCGGCCACATATCATGATGCACAGTGTTCCGCAAGTTCCCGACGCACGACTGAATTAAAGGCTCACGTTGATTTGATCGAGCATGTGGCTTGGCACACAAAGACCACTGGGACCGATTCCAAGTTTGGGTGGTGCCAATAGGGCTTTAGTGCACCAAAGGATGGCTGGTGAAACTGTGCTGGGGTGTTGCGCAGCAGCTTCCACGCGTCACATGCGACTACCTAGCTCCCAACTTTGTATGGTTTCACCGGCTGCGTGATACAGATGTAAGAGTTAGTTCGGGTGCATCGCTGGACCAACCTCTTCATGCATACGGGCTGCTAGATTGCATAAGAACGCAAAGCCCCACATGTGGACACACTGATTCCTGGTAAATGAAACAACAAAGCTGGAAGCAATATGGGGGCTGCATGTGCAAGCATGCAAATGCAATTGCAAGTGGTGACAGGGTTGAGCCAGTGACTGTCAGTGCAATTTTCAACTGTGGCTGAGACAGGGGCAATCAGAGGATGTTGAAAACCTGGTCTTCCGAGGGTCCATGGCCTCAAGCTAGTTTCAACATGTTTCAACACTTTGTTGGGTGTTAAACAGCAGACCCCTTTCTCACCCGTTCTTATACTTAGAGAAACTACGACATGGTACGAATGACTTTTGAACAGGCTCAAGAAAGATGTCGGCGCAATTCTTTTCGATACATAATGATTTATATATATGTATATATGTATTATATATGCACCAGATCGCAGCAGAAAACGACATGACAAGAAAAAACAACCTTGTAAAGCAAAAAACGCTGGCAAATCCGTTGGCTTATCACCATTACTTTGTCATGTGAACATGAAGGATGAAATGTTGTTTAATGCAAACCACTTGCGCGCTTTGAGCCAGAGGCCTGGGGTGTTGTTCAAGCAAATGGATCAAAATGTGGACCAAGGATCGCTTTAGTGCTTTGAGCGCGAGTGCAGTGAGCCTTGTGGGAGGAGGGTGCGCGAGGGGTGCGAGGGCCCCTTGTGCAGGTGGCGCATCAAGAGCAACGGCCACACGAGGAGAAAGAACAGGTGGGGCTGAATACTGGAATGATTGAAAGGCGAGACGGAAAGGTCAGCATTGGCCTGCACACGGGCATCGCAAAATGGACATACTGTAGATCAGATCTGTTTGAAACAGCTAACCATCGATGCTTCACAGTGGCCACGGGAAGTTGGTCAGATGGTGCTACAGAGGATAAGCAGGATCCGTCGTTCATGACTCACGTTTTGCAAAGAACCAGCACGGAAACGCAGCACGGCAGATTTGGAAAACACATTTTTGTTGGGTATGTTTTGTACGTTCAGCCAAGTAAAAGCAAGTCAGTCTCTAAAACTGGTGCAAATTTGCAATGTTCGGGCAAGTGTTTCACGCAGCGGTGGCAACTGCCTCGCGCAACTGAGCCCCGCGACAGGTGTTCATTGGCGAGAAATTGAGGACTCAGTTCAAGCAGTAGCAGATGAGATTGCGTTAGTGTCTATCCATTCATACAAAACTGTAGTGGCTGGGATCTTGGGGCCAAATGCCTAATTTTGGGAGAGCTCCGACCAAACCCACGTGTCCATCCTCGCTTGTCAGTCATGCCACACTTTGACATAGCTGATGCAATCAATCATAGTGCTTCCAAAGACGACTTGAAGTTTATAAGAGTCGTTAGCTTCTGACTAGAACTTTGGAGTCCTTAGTTCCTCACTTGGATTCACTCATTTTAGTAGGTGTTTGTTGGAAAGTGCAGCCAGCGGGCAGGGCCCCCACCGCTTTGGCAACCCTTCGCACTGAGTCATGATCCTGGGGACTGGCATGTGACGTGTGGTTCAACAAGTCTCCCAAGACCTGGGAGTGTCCAATTCCTTCACATCAACAGGTAGGTCTCAACTCTTCAACATCTCAATCTCACTCCATTCTCTCCCAGGACGAGCGCTCCACGCACGAGTCGGAGTCGGAGCAGCACCGCGCGCCGTCGCGGCCGAGCACTCGCGAGACGGCGGCCGGCTTGCGACACTCGGAGGGCAGTTCGAAGGTCAGAAGTGGGGAACGATGATGGGATGGGTGGGCTAGGGACACTTTGGGCTTCGACCTGGCAGTAATGGATGTTGTGGTTGGTATGTATATATATATATATATATGCGTGTGTGTGTGTGTATAACTGTGTATAAATACTCCGCCCTAAAAATAGATGCATTTACAGTAGACAAATGCGCAATCCACCAGGTTACCATCTTCAGAGTACCGCAGCAGAGTTGTGCCATCAGTAGGCATCCCGACAGTATCAAAAAGAACGGCGTTTAAGCTAAAAGAACCTCGTTCTCGGAGGCCCCCACGGCACGCTTCATCTACTGCATTGAATTGCAGAACTAGCTGAATCTTTTACGTTTAGAAAGACAAAGAGAAAGAGTCACAAAGAGAAGGGAAAAGCAGGCAAAAGAGCAGAAGACTCTGTAGAATGGGTGCTGGTGGGATTTAGTCGGCAAAGCAAGCCAGTAAAACATTCCAAAGCAAGCCACGAGCCACAATAGGGAGAGAGTTTACAATTGTGGACCTCCTCCATATTGTGGATCCGTGGCACTTGTCCGGGCCCTTTGCAAGCCTGTTGAACTGAAGTTTTAAGCCTATGGTTTTGGAAGTTGGAAGATTTGGGATGTCCTTCATTCTACTTTCATTATGTGTTCATTTGCCTTCATTATGTGTTCATTAGCTTTCATTTTGCAAATAGTGTGCAGTGATTATTTTTGGCACGAGTTGTTTTTTGCCTGAATTTTATCAATCTTGATCTTGAGGTCTTATTATGGACCCTAAACCCAGAATTTTGGTTGAATGATAAATCAAATTTGACCTGGAATTTGAATGTTATATTTACGGATGACCTGCTGAATGTGCATCAAGCATGTATTGTCTAATGTTGCTGCTGCATTTGTGGTCGTGATGAAAGTGAACATTTAGGTTGATCAATATTATTGTTTGATATGTTTGTAGTTTGTACTCTAGTGTGGAGGCGCCGGGGGGTTGATGTGAACCCAGAGAGATGTTGTGGTTTGGGATTGCTTGTCAAGACAAAATTGTATGTTTGTGTGTTGTTGCCATTTGTGTTGGAAAGCTGCGACTCAGGGGAGCAGGCGATTTGTTTGCGCAAAAGGGCCCTACACAGTTACACAGTGCATGGTCACAACGTATATAAAAGTCTCCAGACTCCAGAGTACACTTCTTCCACACATACATGCTGAAGACTCTAGATGTCCTGCAAGCAAGCAGCAGGCCAAGAAGTCAGTCTTGAGCTTATTTTAGGACTGCTCAAGACTTCTTGGCCGTCACATGTACCTTTGTTCATGTCAGAGCCGTCAGAGCTCCCCTTTCGCTGTGTCCAATGTGGTGCCTGGGAAAACGTCCTGGTGCTGCGGATCTCGCATCAGAGTGCCGAGAAGCCCATCCATTTCCATCAAGTCGAGATCTACGGCTGCGACGGGCCCCTCGGCTCGCGAAAAAGCTCCTAATAGCGTCCTTAGTAGTAAGGCCAGGAGCCCCTAGTAGCGTCCTTGCTCCTAGTAGCGATGCCCTTTGCTCCTAGTAGCGTCCCAGTTCATGCTGGGAACTGCAGATAAACTGGGTGAAGAGATCAGATTGGCCCCTTCAGCGTTGTTGCTGAATGAAAGTCTGACCTGACTTGGGCAGACACAAACAAACATGCATGTTTGGGCCTTCCGCCCATATCCCAGACCACATTGTTATACAGTATATATACACACTTTTTGGAGATCTCAAGAACCTGTCGTGCAGAATGAACAAAAGCAATAACTCCAGACTACTAGACTACTGTGCAGTAGGGAATTGTGATGAACCTTCAACATTGGAACCCTGATTTTATAAGAATGAACCCACGGCCGTCTCCATCCTAAGCATCAGCAGAGTGAGAAGCTTGTTGCTTGCTCTGCACCCCCGCCCAAACTCCTGTCCAAGAATCGTAAGTAACAGCTCATATGAAGAAGTAGAACGAACTCTGAGGGTTTTCCATGGTCTTTTTCATTTCCTGTGGTAAAGCCTTTCGCCCTCTCCGAAGCCTCCGCTGCGCGCCTTTCCCGCGGAGCCTCCGCGGACCGCCGAGGATCAACTACGCCTCCGCCGTGCGGGGCGGCTCGGCCGTCGCCTCGTCGGAGCAGGGCGATGGAGAGACCTGGGGCCCCGCGCGCTTCGTGGTGGACGGCGATCGGGAGCGAAACGTGTGCCACTGGAGGATGGATGGTTGGAGGTGCCTTCATGCCCTGGTGTGGAGTGATTTCCATGGACCGCAGTGGTACAACTTAGACAATATGTGTGAATCCATACGAAGTGCGTGGATATATGTGCATATTTGCTTTTGCATGCTTTTGCCCACCAACCTCAAACCAACGGGACATGTTGAGCTACTTCACCAGGTGAGATTGGCCAAGCCAGTGGACGTTGAAAGCTTCGCCATCTTCAACATGTGTGATGATGAGTACGACCATCGGCTCAGATGTGATGGCCATTTGGTGGAGTTGTTGAACGATGCAGGGGAGGTGGGAGCCCGCCCGATGGTGATCTCGACGGGAGCTCGAAAATGTGTTCAACGCTTGATGTTGTAATATATAAATCATATAATTGTGTCGGTAGTTTGTTTGAGGTTGATTTTACTGGATGTTCATCACAAAGCATTAAGAGGTGGGAAACACCTTCACCTAGGCCCTGGGTCGCAGTTTTTTCACCACAGTTCCAAACATAGTCCTCATTTGGAAACAGAGAATCAGCACCCAAGCTTGTGAATGTGAAGCACGCTGTTCGTCAAGGGAGGTGCTGTTCCCGCGACCAGGCACATTGTCAGCAGATGCCCTGATTGGTGTGCGTGTGTGTGTGTGTGTGTCCAACCCTGGACAAAGGGTTTTCCACCACCACTCTTTCTATACTACATGAGCAGGGGAGTGGAGCAGGCCTGCAGAGCTCCACTTAACAAAGCTCTCTGCAGTGTCCTGAGGATATCAGCAAGGACGCTTGCTGACGTACCTGCACCAGAAACTGTTACTCAAGCTTTTCCACTTACGATTTGATTCATGGTGGTTTCACATGCTAATCCCCAAAAACCAGCTTCCTTCAGCCGCTTTCCGCTGACTTTGAGTTTGCCGCTGCAGTCATGCGATTGAAACAATTATGTTCAAACACCTTCAAATGCCTGGACATTTCACCTTGCTGTTCCATCGCCTTCCTTCCCAACGAGACAATTGCGTTAACTGAAAACCCAAGTTCGAAGTGTGTCCTGCTCAGCCGTCCCACTCGGGTGCTGAGTGTGATCCCCGTCACAGGGGCGCCGATCTTGCATGGGAAAGCAACCACCCCAACGCACCACCGCTCACTGGACTCTCACAGGAAGGCACCGACACCCTCACAGAATCAACTGCCACACCGGCCGCCGGGCCAAAAAACGGTTTCTTGAAGAATACATCGGATTTCAACTTTCAGTTTTCAGATTTCAGATCTCGGATCCGTCATTTCATTTCATGCCTTCAAATCATGTGCGTGTTTCCACGTTTGCTATATTGATGCCGTGATTCTTTCATCGACAGAACTCAAGGATGGGCATTACAGCTCTTCAGCTTAATTCGAGATGCATGAACACACACCTACCAACAAGCTCACATCCAGCACCACCTTACAACATACTCACCATCGACACCAGAGATGACACCTTCAACAACAACAAGACAATACAACTCGGCACTTCTCCGCTGCTTTTTGCTGCCGCGCCGCGCCGCGCCATAGCTACGACCACGACATGCATTTTCCGTGGCCCTACGCTCACACCACGCCACCACCATTACCTACCACACAACCTCAACCCACATGGCCGCTGCCACAGCCATCAACTGCACCCACCTTTCCCACGACACAACCATCGGCATACCCTCACCCACAACCACAACCATTTCAACCACCACCTTTTTTGTCCAACCCTACCGCCACTGCACTGACCTACGGCACACCATCCACTTGGACGTTTGTGCAACCATGTCACGTGCCACCGCAGCCCACACATCCAACTCCAGTCTTTCCGACAGCAGCACCTCCCCCTTCATACCTGTTACCACCACAACATCCCACACCACCGGCAGAACTTCCTCCCCCCACTACCCTGACCCATCCCCCTCCAAACACAGCAACAGACTGCGATTACCAATCATCCATCCACAGACCCCCAATGTGCCATCCCCCAGGGCGTTTGGCAGCCCTATTCAGCTTTTCCCCCAGTCACACAGCCTCCACTCCAACCGTTGCCTCCGCCACCACCTCCACAAACCATCAACGCCTCAACACCAGTCCAACCTCCACTCCAACAGCAGCCACCATCGGATCCAACACCACCAATCCAACCCATCCCCACGACTGCCCCGGACACTCCATTGCCGGTCCAAAACACGACCCCTCCAGCTACCGTATCCCAACATTCTGCATCCCCATCGCTAGTATCAGCCACACCAGCGCCCGGATCTTCACTATGACAAACCTGACACCACTGCCTCACCAGCACCACAACCACCTTCCCCGCAACCACCACACAGCAGTCGCCGCCACCACCACAAGAGCCGACGCAAGTCCGACCATCACCACAGAGGACGCCACCGCCACCGCCGCCGACATCGCCATCACCGCCACTCCAAACATCACAGCACAACCCGGCGACGGCGGTCGCCTTCAACATCCACTTACACATCCAGCCTTACGCCATCCCGCAGTCGCTCACCACCACAACCCATTGACTTACGCCCTAACACTGAACACACCAACCCAGACCCCTCTCAATTTCCCACCACAGCCGTCCTCCGTCGCCCAATCAACCGTTGGCGACCTCCACCCAACTTTCACACCTTTACACCTGCAGACCAAATCCTGGAATGGCTCGAATTCCACGCCACCCAACTCGACAATCCCAACCGACCACAACACCAGTACATTGCCAATATCCTCACAGACTGCAACATCACCTACAAGGAGATCACCGATTTCCGACAATATACTCACGCCAAGTGGAACGACGCAACTCACCAATACGACCAATTCCAGTACTACGCCATTTCACTTCCCTTCCTCAACACCAAAGCCACTACACCAGAACCACCTGCGGTTTCCCGCGCCACATCAACCCACCGGGAAGTCGCCCACATCAACGCAGGCCACACAGGCCCCGTCGGCAACATTTCCAACATTCTACGCCAAGGCCGATTTTTACCCAGCACACTCCACTTTGCCAACTACCCTGGATTTTTTGCCCAGGGCGTTCGCATCACCCACAACCAACCCCATGACCACAACGAACTTGCCCGCATCATCCACAACACCTGGCAACTCCACAAGAACTCCCATTCCCTTATCATCACACTCCTTGCTTGGGGTGCTGCCACAAAATATACCTCCGGAGGTGAGGAACACGCCATGAACCTCCTTAACGACCACCATGGTGCAGTCTTTCATCAGAAGGGCCGCTGCTGGGTGATCCACCCGGACCACGCCATTGTCAAAGGACTGGCCTGGTCCACAAACTCCACTCCACCGGACACATAACACCACTATCCCACATCTACACACCACTACCACCTCCACATCCACTTTTGGTCTCACACCACCACCTAACCTTTGCTCGTAGCAGCCAAAAAAGAGCCTCCTGCAGCGGCCACGCGAATTTTGAACCCTCAATTTTTCAAGCTCTGCAGTGTTTGCGGAAAATTTTTTCTTCAATTTATACCGGCTGTTCTGATGGAGTATTTCACATGTCAGATTCTCATGTACTTGACTGTCCAACCGGCATTGCATTTTCGTACTTTGCCTGTGGAAATTTGATGCTCGTTTAATTCATATGCACGGCCTCGTGATGATGCGCTCCCTCAGACTCGCCGCTGTCCGGCTGCTTTGGCGCGCTGCTGCAGCAACCCGTGACGATTCCGTGCTATTGTACATCCCTACATCTCCGAATCATGAGCAGCACACCGACACCTCTACGCAACGACACCTCAACTCTCATACACAGAACCACAGTGGTACTTTCGCAGCTGCAGAACCTACTCAGACAAGCAACCGATAGTGTAGCACACCTCCACACTCAGTTCCTCCACCATATCCACCAAGCGGATCCGACTTTCCGCCAACACTTTCAGCCACTCCCAACCCCGCCCAACCACCCTATACGTTTACCATCTACTACCTCATCTTGTGACTCAGCACCATCCAGACCACCCCTCCGTTTACCAGCACCACCCTCAAAAGACTCAGACGACACTCCCACAACACCCCCAGATCCACAACCCACCACAACACGCAAGCGGAAGCAACCACCCCCACCACCACTGAACCAACAGGCGGACTGGGATGCTTGGGACGGCGACGCCGACTGTCGCCTGGTCGAACTCAAAGAAAACCCCAGACTTCGTCCCAACTGGACCACTGTGGCTCGCCGAGTGGGCTTCTCCGTAGAGCAATGCCAGGCCCGATGGCAAGAACTCAAAGACATGCAACGTCAGCAGGACCAACAACTCTTCTCCACACCACTACCAACCGCACCACCAAGACAAGCACCTTCCCCATCACCAACACCCACATCACCAGCAGTTTCCCCAGCACCACATTCACAACCGGATTTCTCCCCTTCCCCCATAACAACGCCACCGACTTCACCACATCAAACGACTCCTGCTGCTGTGCTGCTGACGCCGGCCGCTGAGCGAGCACTTAGTGAAGACAGTCATCCGGAGAAATCTCCACTTACGCCCGTTGGCAGTTATTTCATTTGACCCGTTTCACCCACCTCTCTTTACGGCGTGCTGCAGGACAAATCCACCGACGTGCACTGATATTTAGTTTTTCACGTCCAGTCTACTTTCACCAGGTTGCCCAACTTTGATTTGTCAGTTTTCAGGCTCACTTCAGCTCCGCAGCCTTTTGTGCGCCATTTCATTCCATCAATTGTCATGGCCAATCCTCGCGCTCGCCCTCATAACAACACCGCCGACACAGAACACTACCTCCCACAGCGCCCTCCGAGCTGGCTCCAACCTTCGATTGGCACTCAGCCCGACTTTCAATCCCTCAACGGCTCTTTGGACCTCCTCTTTCTGGTCAACCAACACCTCCGCCATCACCCATTTCACACTGAACCTATGCCAAGCCAGACCTATTTTCAAGACCAGAGAGCATACAACCTCCTTTACCGAATGCGCGGTGACCTGATCTTGCTGGACCGCCTGATCGATAACCTCTCCCAGGCTCGTCGGCTCCTTCAATTTGTTACCACCGGCCCCGGGCTCCCGGGACAATACCGCATCAACCCCACAGCCACACTATCCAGCAGAAACCTGGCCATTCTACACGACATACCGCCAGGTTTTCCACTACCACCCGGACTTTCCAGCCGTTCACCCTCTCCCTCACCACGTACCCCACCACAAGACGCCGAACGCCTACACTCATACTGGACAGGTCCCCCACCACAAGCCACCCCGGCCACCAACATCAACACTACCACTCACACCAGGGAACG